AATAAGAGAGCTCAATCAGCTCTGCTATTTAATCCATAGCTGAAAGGAGAAAAGATAGATTAATACTTTTCCATGTACATACCTGTACATCCATTTCCATATATTAGGTTGTTACATAATTTTTTTTTGTTTTTTTTATAATTTATTTTAATACTTATTTATAAATAGTTCTGATGAATCATTCAACAATGTATTCCCTTTCATTGTTTACAACCTCTTGCTAGAGATCCACTGTTCAATGCTTTGATGATAGAAATCACAAAATTTCAACTCAAAAATTCATCAAGCCACATTTTAAAGTCTACATCGTTGTTGAATGAAACACCCCTTAAATTGCGACTGAAAATGGTGGCAGTCTGAAGGGGCTAAGTCAGGTGAATATTGTTGGTGCAGCAGAACTTTTTAACCAAATTCTTTCTTTGTATCCATGAGTAGCCTGGTGTATAGTGTATAATCTAGTGGCAATGGAGTAGTGCTGGAGTTTGTTTTGCTTAGTCAATGCATGTGTTTCTGGACCTTAGCCATTGAGTGAGGATGATGAGTGACACTAACATCTTCTGAGCAAATTTCCTAGTGGTCTGGCATAGTTCAATTAATCAGTGTGTGCAATTGTTTCTCATTAAACTGAACAAGTCAGCCAAAATGCAGAGAGTCAGTGAGTTCGGATTTCCCATCCTTGAAATGGTAAAACCATTTTTGTGCCATTCTGTCATCTTTGTACACAGCACACATATCTCAAACAGCTTTGTGACCTTGATTAAATGAAGATTTTGAATGTGTATTCCATCTCAAAGTCTTGTCTAATTTGAAATAAAATTTCATTATTAGACAACAGTTTCACAGGATGACCAGAGTTACTAAGAAGCAAAAATGCTATGAACAGTTATTCTTCAAGATCATTTGAAGAACATCAGAAAAAAATGAATGAATATCTGTAGCAACCTAATGTTAATTAACCTAAATTGAATGTTCAATATTCCCAATTCCCCAACATAAAAGACAAATGATACAATCAGCTTTATCTTTTAAATAAATATAATATAATATTTTTATTCTGTTCCCCACTGAGATCTTTATTCTATATTAACAGAATGTAAGAAATACAGAACAAGTATATTGATTAAAAAATGCATGAGACATAACACTCATAGACTTCAGTTTAGAATACTAATATTAAGGACAAACAAGATAAACTTATACATGTTAAAAACTGAATATTTGACATACTACAACATACATAGTCAACTTAAGACATCTGTTAAGGAAGTCTATTTACAAAACCAGTTCAGACAATATAAATGGAACTATTTTATCTGTCTATATTTCTGAGGTATTGTAATTATTTACACTATTTACATTGTTTGGACTGTTGTCCTCATTATTGTCTTATTCACAATGTTTGGGCCATTGTACACTCTGGTTTTCTTCAGGTGATTGGAATTTCAAACTGAACCCTTTATTTCCTCTACCAGGATAGATTGTTCTAGTTCCATGTGCCATGCCTCTCCCGGATGTCTCAGTTATCTCCCTTTAACTCAACTCTCCAAGTTTTTGTTCACCACTGCAGTAGCCAGGTATTGAACTCACAACTCCTAGGGTCAAATCACTGGATCCAACCAATGCTTTTATCCACTGGGCCATGTGTCCTTGAGGACAAAAACTTAGAGTTGAGTTAAAGGGAGATAATTGAGACATCTGGAAGTATCGCGTGTCCAGTGTTTTTTTCTGTGCAAGAACATAGGCTTAAATTTAAAAAAAACTTACCTGTAAACATATCACAATAATCCATCATATCATAAAAATAATTAAAATGTTTTATAAAACATATTTTGCTCTTTCACATCATAATTTGAAAAGCAAGTAAAAAAAAAATGGAGACTTAAATGTTTAACATAACGAACATTCATAATATGAATTTGAATTGCAACATGACATTTTGCTAATCATTTTTTTTCAAAGATGTATCAGTTGTCCATCATATAACAAATGTAGATCTACAGATAAAAAAGTCAAAATCTTAATAACAAGAATACTGATAGTCAATATAAAATAACATTTTCAATGTGGGCTGAATTTATTTTCTTGACAATAAAGGCCACAAAAATTATCATATTGCCAATTAAAGCATTAAAAATTTCAATAATAAATAGTAATATAATTTTCTTAAAGATTTCATAAAAATCCACATAAACTCAACATATATCTATTTAACAAAATCTTTTATATGTATAATATAGAGCAAATTAAAAATTCTAAAAATTAAAAGAGAAAACAAGCATTGGATATTCTTATGAAAATAAAAAATTCAAATCTAAAAATTGATCCTTTTATTTATTTTAGCATTGCCAAACAATGGCTTATTTAAAATGTCTTCCTTTCTTATATTTCTCAGTACTAGGAAAGCCGAGTTTGAATTCAAGTTGAATCCATTACATTCACTTACGTGTTAATACCCTTGGGAAAGGTATGAATCCTCTTATTCTTCCCCCAGCAGGGCAGACCAGGTTCTATAGCCTTGGATGGCAACTGGTCTACCACAGAACAAAGTGGCAACCTATTCCAGGAAAAAATCTGCCTCGTCAGTCATGTATCGAAAGATACATGATCGCCTAAGTGTGTATCACATATGGCACATAACTGAACTAACTAGGTCCTATAGCTTCCCACCCCCTACTTGAGTCTTAGATGCATACAATCAAGGATTTGACTCTGGATATTGCCAAACATCACCAAATTTCTGCACATCACTGACTGTAGTACTAACCTTAGCAAAGTACTAAGAGGCAAGAAAATTCTTTTGTTAAAAACAAAGAAAAGAATGCTGAATTATTATGCAATATAGCAGTAAATGATGGACAATTTATTCATAGATGAAGAAGGGATTTGAGGTAACAGAAATGTGATTCTACAGAAGGATGCTGGGAATACTATTGATGGAGTATGTAATCAAGAAAGAAGCCTGAAGGAAAATGGAAAAACAAAGGATACTTATACTTAAAATCAAAAATAGAGAGATGAAATTTCTGAGATGCATGATGAGCACTCTTCAACACACTTGAGGGATGTTAAAAAGAATAACCATTAATAAGAGCTACAAAGGATATGAAGTTGTGGAGAACCATGATCACCCATGTTCTGAAGAAACATGACATATAGAAGAAGATGACTAACCTTAGAAAACAATACAATTATCCATTATGCCCACTTGGAATGAAAGTAATTGAGTATAAGTGTTCTTTTTGTTTCCATTTTCTTTAAAACTTCATTGTTGCTCACATGTTCAATCCATGGTATTCTCAGTATCCTTCTGTAGAGCCATATTTCTGTTGCTTCAAGTCTCTTCTTCATCTGTAAGGGGATTTTCCAGTATTCACTGCCATGTAGGAGGACTGGCATTACATAACAGTTCTGTACACTTTTCTCTGTTCCTAATAGAATTTTCCTCTTTCTTAATACTTGCTTAGTTTTTTGGAAGGCAACTTTTACTATCTCCGTGCTTTGGATTTCAGTTTTGCACTTTCCATTCTCTGTTAAAAAAATTTTCCAGAAATTGAAATTTCTGAATTTTCTTGATTTTGGTATTTCTAATTTGTAATTTGCATGTTGGGCTCTTCTATACATTCTATCTTCATACAATTGATGTTTAATCCTTTCTTCTCACTTTCCTTCAATATTTTCTGTAAGAGTTCTTGCTGTTTCCTTTCTATGCTTGTTATCAACACTGTGTCATCTTTATGTTGTTAAGATTCTAATTCTCTCAGAATTGTCTCACTGTAGTTTGAATATGTCTGGTGAGAAGACATCTCCTTGTTTTTCTTTCTGAGGATTAATTAGCTGATTAATATAAGACATTACTGATACTTACACTTCAGATTTTCATTTTAAAGTGTTTGAGGAAAATCAAAACTTGAACAACTGTTTCCATTTTCAAAGAGAATATTATGAAATTATTATTATTAATTTTTTTTAATCATTTCATCCCAAGTAAGACAATAAAAGCCTGTAAGACACAAAGGGTTCACTGAGAGTGATTGGGAAAAAGTAGCAAGAACAATAAAAAAATAGTATTCAAGGAGACAGAAAATGCTGATTGACATTAAATTTAAATTTTTGAAGGTCATAGTTGACAGGAAAGTAAGAAATCAGAAGAGATTTTCACAAAGGAGAACTGGAAGAGGAAAACCTATTTGTATAGAAGTTATGGTTACATCTAACAATTTCAAGAGCAATATCATGAAATCTAGCTGTCAATCTAGTACTAGGCTTAAATTTGTGATGTTGAGGTACCAAAGAGTAAAGCACAACAATTGCCATGAAAATATTTATAGAAAAGACACAGGAAAGATAGGAAAGTGACTGAAGCCGAGATGCCAGGTCAAGACTGATAACATTGCAGATTCTTTGAATTTTGTCAGGAATGTCTAGATACATAACAGGATCACCAAACCAGATGTGGCAGCAATATTCAAAACATGAATGAATGGCAGAACTATAAAAGTGCAAGATAGATTATGGTGAGAAAAATTGTTTGCCATGACACAGTGAAGTTTCATTTTTCAATCTTTTGTGATTTTCTTTTTGGTAATTTTCAATCAGCACATGCTTATAAGTTTTCTAAAATTGAAGTGCATGAATTACCTGAAGAAAAATAAATATTTTAAATGTTTTTTTCTTCTCTGTCCTCTCCTCCATTTTTTCCCCACTGACTCTCTGTTCTAAGATGTCTGCAGCCCACACAGTCCATTTACATCTCTCTATTCCCACCCTCTCATTAAACTATCAAACCTTTCACTTTAAGTACTGTTTCACAAAAGCAGGTGACAAATAACAAAGAAAAAAGGAAAACAAGGTGCATATGTTTGTTTGAAAAATTTTATAGTGCAAAATAATTAAAGTTAATATAATTATTTTCTAGAATGAAAATTTTTTTTTTTAAATTTTCATATTATTTGAAAATTTAACAATATTAACAGAGAAGCATACGAAGAAAAAAGGGGAAGATGAGAACTGTCTTATTCTATTTGTTGGTTGAGATTCCACCATTCTCTTCACTCTTCAATTCTCACTTTCTTTCTCATTTTTCTTTCTTTGAACAAGATAAAATTGATGACCCATATTTCTTTTTTGCACTTTTCATTCCCAGTTTTCTTTCTTTTTCTTTCATTTTGTAGAACCAGATAAAATTTATGACATATTTTGTTTATTCACTCTTCATACCCAACTTTCTTTCTTTCTTTCTTTCTTTCTTTCTTTCTTTCTTTCTTTCTTTTCTTTCTTAGGACCAGATAAAATAAATGGCACATTTCTTTTATTCACTCTTCATTCCCAGATTTATTTATTTCTTTTCACAGAACCAAATAAAATTGATGACATTTTTTTCATTCACTTTTCATTTCCAACATTCTTTCATTCTTCCTTTCTATTCTTAGAACAAAATAAAATAGATGACATATTTCTTTCATTCCCAGCTTTCTTTCTTTCTTTCTTTCTTTCTTTCTTTCTTTCCATAGAACCAGGTAAAAGAGATGATATATTTCTTTCTTTCTTTCTTTCTTTCTTTCTTTCTTTCTTTCTTTCTTTCTTTTATAGAAACAGATAAAATTGATGACACATATTGCTATCCTCTCCATAACAATGGAAGAATATATTTCCCAGTTAGGTGCGTGTGTGTGTGTGGTGGTCATCGGTGGGGGTGGGTGCAGGATTTTATGCATATAGACCATATAAGAATAATTATAGGGAGATTGTCAGACATTCTGCAATGCACATTATATTATAGTCACCATTTCATGTTATTTAGACTAATGTCTTTTCTGTGCTTACGAACATAAAAGGTATTACCAGGGTTGGCCATGTCTCTCCTAGGGAAATTACAAGTAAGATTTCCTTTTATTCATCCCTTCACATACTTTCTACTTTTTTCAACACACACACACACACACATACAAACACAGATATATATTTATATATATATATATATATATATATATATATATATATATATATATAAAAAAAAAATTTTTTGGTTAAATAATTTAGACGTATCATGCCTATTTATTTTAGTTTTAATCCTTTCAAGCCCATAAATTAATTTCTTGGTGGGTGTAAAAAATTGATTAAGAAAAATTACAAAATTTTCTTTCAAATAATTTTTATTTTCTCAAGTACTTTCAATCACATTTGCAACCATCTTTACTAGGTTAAAATAAATAGACATAATACGTCTAAATTATTTAACCAAACCTGCTTGAATGAAGCAATATGTTGCCTAAACTATATATATATATATATATATATATATATATATATATACTTCCAAGGAATACTTAAATATTTACTATCCAAAGTGCTGATTCCTGTAACATAATGGTGACTAATATTTATCCAAGTATACTAGTATCTTGCAACAGTCTTTTATTCTTCTGAAGAAGCCAAAATCAACAGATGTCTGGTGAAATGCATTATTTATAGACTTTCCACTTTGTCTCATCATCCCCATATTTATATACACACACTTTTCACACACACACACACACACACACACACACACACATATATATATATATATATATATATATATATATATATATATATATATATATATATATATATATATATATATATATATATATATATATATATATATATATATATATATATATATATATATATATATATATATATATATATATATACATACACACACATATATATATATATAATATATATACACAGACATACAAAATTATCATTGATTTTCTTCAAAAACAATTTTGCCTGATTTCACAACCAAAAACAGGAAAGACAAATATGAAAAACAAATAAAATAACAGACGTTATCATCTTATATAAAGTACTGAAGATCACAAAGTTATTGGCTCACTTATGTTTACATCCTGTTTACAGGTTTACTTCAAGAGTGATGGCCTTACTGACTTGTATCTACTAATGCAGTTCCAACAAATCTTCTTTGTGTACCTTTTCTTCCTTTCTAAACAAAAGAGCTGCACTTGCAAAGAAAATACCTTCTTTCTTGTCAAATTGTGTATCAGGAAACCAGACTTTCCTTTCACACAACCACAACAAAAGGTGAAGGCAGAAAACATAGGAATGAAAAAATTCAGATGTAAACCTCTAACCTGCAATTATTCCTGCTTAAGGCAGAAATAAAAATAAATCAACACTATTGTGTCCTCAAGAGGTTGTCTTGTCATTCAAATAAAGGTACAGAGAAGGCATGTTTTAAAAAAATTAACCAATCAAATACTTTTTTATGGTTGACAATTATCCAATGAAATAATATTTTTGTCATGAGAATATCTGTCTTATGAAAGAGACTGTTTAGTTTTTCTTTTTTCATTTTAAATCTATTTTTCTTTTTATATGACAACACTACATTTTGCCAAATTCTTTTCAAAATTTATTCCAATTTGTTTAAGCATCTATCTATAATAAGGTACAACATATACTTTTACCTAAAATTTTATAAATATATTTAATAAGTTTGACAAGACATGTAAAAATAAATATTTAGTTCCTTAGTGTTTTCAATTTAGCTTTGAAAATATTCATATTACTTAATTTTACTGAATTGTTACCAAAAATAAAATACTATTAAGCATGAAGTCTACAATGCATTTGTTATAAAAAAAAAATAAAACTGTTCCTCAAATTATGTTGTCCTTTGATGTTAGTATCAATAATAATGGAAATCAATAGAACCAAATATGGTATTTTTCAATGCAAGAAACTATCAAATCTCTTAAAAACTGATTTATTTCTTATTTAAATTGGTTAGTTTAGGGTTTTCTAAATGTTAGAAAATCATACTATAAGACAGGGGTTACCAACCATTATGGCATCATTGCTCACTTTTGCATGGAAAATTTTTCAACCACCCACCTGTATAGTAAATACTCAAAAACATACCAAAATTGTTTGGTAAATCTTTTTTATTGGTTCATAAACTGACTTTATGATGTAGTAAAAAATACCAAAGGGTGGTAACAATGCTGACTTATGTGCCAGATGCTGCTGCTAATACCATAATAAAGAACAAATGAAAACTAACTTGACCATTGAAAACTATATTTTTTTTTAAGAATTTCACCCTAAGCAAGGCAGAAGCACCACTAGTACGCAAGGAGCTACAGAGAGTGTAAATAAGGGAAAAGACTGGGTATAGGGGTGGGGATTTGTGGAAAGGATAAAAAGGAGTATGGAGGAAGATGAAAAGCAGAATCAAGGCAACTGAAGATGTCAGTTGACATTACATTTAAATTTTTGAAGATTATATTTACCAGGGAAGCAAATAAGATGAAGGGAGTACCACTATCGTGAAGTGTGAGAGAAGTTGTTGGAGTCGAAGAGGTGGTTACATTTAACTGTTTTGACAGTAAAAGGGTGAAACCAAGGTGCTAACCCAGTAGCACGCTTAAATTCATGCAGTCGGGACACCAGTGAAAATAGCTTGTCAGAGCAGTTACCATAAAAATATTTATAAAAAAGACAGAGGGAAGCCACATTATGTTGGTGAGAAAGTGAATGGAGTTGAGACCCCCAAGTCAGGATGATCACACTGGATATGCATCTTTCAAGATTGGGGGTACCAGACCATATATGGCAGCAGCATTCCATGCATGGACGAATGGTAGATTTGTAAATGTGAAGGATGGACTCAGACAAGTAAAACCTTCTGGTGCAATAAAGAGAACCAACTTTCCTTGCAGTAGATGCAGCTATTGATTCAATGTAGTTGTTCCACCTCAGGTCAGTGGAAAAAATGAGACCAAGAAGGTGCAGTGAGGTGCTCTCATGGTGCTGAACATCAACCATGCTGACAGGAGGCAGGGAAGTTTCTCTATGGTGAGTAAATGACAGCAGTTTCATTTTGGATACATTAAAATTCACAAGCCATTTCTTGCCCTCGTCAACCAAAGATTGGAGGTTGTTTTTGGGACCAACGTTTAGGTTAACTTTGTCAAAAATGCCAGATTTACAAGACAGGAGTAAATGGTAGTGTTGCCTGTGTAGATGCCTACTTGAGAACTGATGATGTCAGGAAGATCATTATAATCTAGTTTTGTGGTCAAGGTTGTTTTATAGTTAAGGTTAGTGTTGCAAGTGCTGACAAAAAATTAAACAATTTTTGTTCATAATTATAAAATAAAAGAGAATATACACTATTAGAAACTAATAAAAATTCAGCAAATATTTTTTTGAAGAACTATTTTAATTAAATTTTTTACTGAAGAACTATTTGAATGCTAATGAGCTTTCTCAAAACTATAGAAAATGCCAAAATATTCATATATTCATTTATATCTTATCTAGGAATGTGACCCAATTATTCCCATTTTGTCACCTGATTTTTTTTATACAAGTTCTTTGCATATTTTGAATATTTTTTCAAATAGCATATATGTTGAAATACTTTTCAATACTCAAAATCCTATATCAGCCACCAAAAATTTCCAATTGTTCACCATTGTGTTCATTTGCTTGTCACCAAGCCACTAATTGAAATCACCCCGGTTGGGAAACCCTGCTATAACATAATGAGAATTGGGACAAAAATATTGCATTCTTAGACATACACTTCATCTAAACTTATAAATTGTGTGTAAATTTGGTAAAAATGTCTTTTAATCGATTTTGGTATTGGGGGCACCAGTAATAAATAAAAAGAAATGCAAGTAGCATAACTGATATCAGCACGGGAAATGGAATCAGCAAGCAGTGTTCAAATTCAAACGTTATATAATGCATTCACTTTCACACAAATGCCTTTGGGGAATGCAGAAATTCATTTCTTTTCCACCAGGGTGAAATAGCAGGGTATACTGGGCTCTCTTTCTCTGGATGGCAGACACTCTAAGAGAAGGACTACTCTGAATTCAAAACTGTGGCAAAGGCTATGAGAAACAACTCTACTATCTTACCCAAGAAGTCATGATAATTCACAGATATTAAAGAAAAAGAAGCTGTGGAGAGCCATAATCCCCTACATCCTGAGGGAGCATGGTATTATAAAAAAAATTAAACAAAACGGAGATGGGTGGGAAGTGTATCTGTTATCAGCATGGCAAGTGGAATTAGCAGGACTAGTCTGTTGCATTCACTTTTGCACTAATGCATTTATGGAAAGGCATGAATCTATAACTTCCAACGCCAGCTATTGGCTAAATAGGAGGTTAGAAAGGATTATCTGATCTCAGATGACATTCAGTCTAAAAACATAACTTTTAATTCAAAATTTTAAGAGAAGGCTATGAGAAACAACTCTACTATCTTACCCAAGAAGTCATGATAATTCACAGATATTAAAGAAAAGGAAACTATGGAGAACGGTGATCATCTATGTTCTGAAGGGGAATTTTATTATAAAAAATAAACAAAAATGAATATACAGCTAGCTTATGATTATAATATTTTATTTAATACAATTCTTGATTTAGGATGGTTTATATTTTATAAAAAACTGTAATTATTGTACATTTAAACTTTAAACTCATGTAATTTCATGGTGGCTCTAGAACACTATAGCTACCAAGAAATATAAAAATCATGAATGATGGATTTAATAAACATATGTAAAAG